GGGTTGACTAATCGTTTTCCTTCCTCTCTTTCTTTAGCATCTACGGAAGTCGACCGCAGCAGCAGCAGCAAATACTGAACGTCTTTGACATTGGTCGAGGTGGCGGTGGTGTTGGGCTAACTCGAACGCTAAACAATCACCACAGAGCGAGCAACTACTACACCAGTGGGACGAATGGTGGACATTTGAGTAACAACTCAAGCTCAAATCCAACAGCTGCGACTACGACCACCGCCTCCTCCTCAACGCTCGGCCTTCGCGTCTACTCCGAGGCGGAGGTGGGCGTGCTGCAGTCGCTGGNGCAGCAGCAGCAGCAGCAGCAGATACTGAACGTCTTTGACATTGGCCGAGGTGTCGGTGTTGGCCTAACTCGAACGCTAAACAATCACCACAGAGCGAGCAACTACTACACCAGTGGGACGAATGGTGGACATTTGAGTAATAACTCAAGCTCAAATCCAACAGCTGCGACTACGGCCACCGCCTCCTCCTCAACGCTCGGCCTTCGCGTCTACTCCGAGGCGGAGGTGGGCGTGCTGCAGTCGCTGGGCAAGTGCAAGTTCGGCGACGTCCTCCTCTGCAATGTGCCCGGCTCTGGCACCAAGGGCCTTCGCCGGCTGGCAGTGGTGCGCACCGTCAACGACCTCAACCTCAAGGCGGAGTTTGTGGCGGCGATGAGCTGGGCGCGCACCAGATCGCTCGCCTGCGACCGCTTTGCGCGCCTCTTTGGCGTCATCGAGACGCCCACCTACTACGCCTCGCTCACCGAGGCGGGCGACTGTGACCTCCACTACTACCTGAGGAAGACGGACTATCTCAGGTAAGATCTCAAAAACAAAAAAAAACTTTGTCTAATTTGTTTTTCCCCTTTTCAGCTACGAGACGCTGCTGTACATTGCCGGTGAGATTGCCGCCGCCGGTGCCTACCTCGAGGCGGCGAGCTTACCGGCGGTGAATGGAGGAAGTGCTCCACAGCAACTGCAACAGCAGCAAGAGCAAACCCACCGGGACATAGCCGCCCGAAATGTGATCATCTACGAGGCGACGCTGACGGTGAAGCTAACTGATGTGGCCGCCTATGAGGAGCAGTGGGCGGCGGACTACGTCGACGGGCTGCCCATTCGGTGGATGGCGCCGGCGTCGGTGGCCGGCCGGGGACCGCTCTTCAGTCTTCCTGGGGACGTCTACGCCTTTGGCGTCACCCTCTGGGAGGTGATGACCGGCTGCAAGGTGCGCCCCTTTGCGGAGTACGGCGACGAGGAGCTGGTCGCCGCCATGTACGCCTACCTCGATGCAAAGGAAGAGGAGGAGGAGAAAGCCTCTGATGATGAGGGAGATCATGAAGAGGATAATGAAGCAGAGGCAGAGGCGCCTCGACTGCCCGTGCCCACCCACTGCACCCCGGAGATTGCCTCGCTGATTGAGGAGTGCACGGCGGCGGAGGAGCACCAGCGACCTACCTTCAAGGAGATCTGCCTCTTTCTCCAGCGAAAGACTGCCGCTGCTGGCAGTGGCAAGCAGCACTGATTTGTTCACTTTTGCATTGTTTTGTTTTCACCACTTGACCCATTCCCGCTCACTCACTCATTTCCACTTGCCCACATTCCCACATTTTCATCCTCATCTTCTTTTTCCTCTCCTCCCAGATCCTCCTTCTCCAGATTTCCCAAAGACTGACCTCCACTCCCTACCAAATGGATATTTTTGTACATACGCAACGCTCTGGATGTGCAAGTGCAACAAATAAACGCTGGTGGTCACACACACTGATGTTTTCACAATTTTCCNTTTGTACATACGCAACGCTCTGGATGTGCAAGTGCAACAAAATAAACGCTGGTGGTCACACACACACACACACTGATGTTTTCACAATCTTTCTCAATCTCGTTGGCACTCTTAAAGGATTTGTGGATGGACGGATGGACACAATATCGCAGTCAGCCAGGACACACACTGACTCTGATTCATCATCAACATCAACATCAACATCATCATCAACATTCCCATCACCGCCAGTTGACAAGTGTTGCCAAACGCGATCATCACCGCTATCGCAAGCATACGTGCACATGATCACTGATGTTGATGGTGGTGATTCGATGATGATGGTAGCGGTGTGTAGTTCCCCAAGGCCAGCACCGGCACAGCAGCCTAAACATTTTCTCGCATCAATGATACTAGTCAGTTAAAAGGAAAGCAAAGCAAAGCAAGCCCACCACAACAGCAGCAGCCAGTGAACAAGTACTAAAGCTGACTGAGGCAGCAACAGAGCTGCCAGCCAGCAGAAGCATGAAGGCCAGGAACAACAGCACCAGCAGCAGCAGCAGGCAAACACACTACTACTGATGATCAACGTGAGCGAGCGCGGAGGTGATGCACGCACTTGTCTCGTGGCAACGGCGCCAAGCTTTCTCCACTCTCTTTCTCTCTTTTTCTTGCTGGCCAAAGTCTGTTGATGTATTTTGGTGCTAATTGAAGACTGAGGTATGTGTTGGGGGCTGTGTGTCGGCTGCATCCGTCATCGCCACCATACCCAACAGCACCACCAGCNTTTCTCCACTCTCTTTTTCTTGCTGGCCAAAGTCTGTTGATGTATTTTGGTGCTAATTGAAGACTGAGGTATGTGTTCGGGCTGTGTGTCGGCTGCATCCGTCATCGCCAACACTAGTACTGCTAATCACCGCCAATCGGGACACTGATTCAACACCAGTGCCTACACCAGCACCAGTCCCCAAACACTTTGTTGATGTTTCTCTGCTGATCTCAATCCTGTTGATCAGTTTAGTGGTGGTGGTGGTGCACTACATGTACACTGAAAAGACAGAGAGAGAGAGAGAGAGAGAGTGGAGTCTGGCGTTTGCCAGAAACTGCCAAAAGTGCGACTTTGCATTTTAGCATGCAATAACTTTTACCCGGTTGTTTTGATGGCTACAGATTTTTCAGATAGTGATACTGTTGCTGCTGCTGCTGCATCGCTGTACGGTTCATCAGTGCGTTTGCTTAAGAGAGCAGCCACCTCTACACTGGTACCGGTACTCCACAGTGGTGGTCCTCCTCAAGAGTAAAGAGTAGAGTTATTTGTCTCCGTTTTTTTGCGAGTGTGGACATTTCGAAAGATGTACTTGATGATCTTTCTCTTCTCGCCTCTCTCTCTCCCTCTGCCCAGTTACTGACGCACTGATGTCACATCGTTCGGCAATGTCGTCACACCCGTTGAAAAAAAGTACACTAGACTAAAAAGTACATTCCCATTTGTAGCTCGCCAGTTGCCGCATACTGACAACCACTTTTCTTCGGTGTCTTCTGCTCCTTCTGATGCCTCTTCTTCTTCGTCTAGTTCTTCTGCTTCTTCCACTGATCATTTTTCCACACACACACACCGCGATCACGTGAATGCAGTGTGACATGACAGCAGCACACACTGAACAGCACACTGCCGCCTTCCCTCCCTCGCTGTTACTCTTCGCTTGGCTTCCACTCACTCTCTCTCTCTCTCACTCTCACTCTTTCTCTGTTGTTGGCACTGATGATATGATGCCGCTGCTTCAGCTCCAGACACTCCGTCAGTCAGTGCCAGTCGTCTGCTCTTTGCAGTCGTCAGTCCGTGGTTATAATAAGCAACACAACTGGTGCCGAGCGCACCCGAACGCACTTTGTTCTTCTTCGCCTTCGCCTTCTTCTTCACCGCCAGCCCAAAAAGAAAGAACGCCGACAACGGTTAGCTCATTTTCAAACAGAGATGGCTTCAATGAACTTCCCCACGTACTCTCGCCTGGACGGCCTCAACTCCCTCGTCACCAAATGCGTGCACACCCTCTGCGTGCCGGCCAGCGATGCGGCCACCCTTCCCAAGACACAGTCCAGCGTCCCCTCGCTGTACGACTT